ATGACTCTCTTGACCAGATGCCTGAGCAAAGGGAGAGAGGGAGCCATGGGAACAAGGGGTTAGGGATTTCAGGCAGAAAGCACAGCAAAGCCCCGAGGAAGAGGGAGCTCCACAGGTTTAAAGAACATCAAAGGGGCCCTATATTTTTAAATTAATTATTTAATTTATTTTTTAGTCAGAATCTCACTCTGTCACCCAGGCTGGGGTACAATGGTATACTCACAGTTACCGCAGCCTCAACCTGCTGGGTTCAAGTGATCCTTCCACCTCAGCTTTCCAAGTAGCCGGAACAACAGGCATGTACCACCACACTTGGCTAATTTTTTTATTTATTGTAGGGACGAAGTCTTGCCAAGTTGCCTGGGATGGTCTGGAACTCCTGAGCTCAGGCAATTCTCTTGCCTTGGTCTCTCAAAGTGCTGGGATTACAGGTGTGAGACACCGTGCCTGGTCCCTATATTTTTTAAATGTTATAATGTGATGAGTACTTTTTTTTTTTTTTTTGAGTTGAAGTCTCACTCTGTCGCCCAGACTGGAGTGCAGTAGCACGCTCCCGGCCACCGCAGCCTCGATCTGCTGGGCTCTGATGATCTTTCCACCTCAGCCTTCCAAGTAGCTGGAACTACAGGTGCGCGTTATCACGCCCGGCTAATTTTTTGATTTATTGTAGAGATGAGGTCTCGCCAAGTTGCCCAGGCAGGTCTTGAACCCGCGGACTCAGGCAATCCACTCACCTCGGCCTCCCAAAGCGCTGGGATTACAGGCTGAGCCACCAAGCCTGGTGATGAGCACTGTTTAAAAAAATTATAAAGAACTATACATAACACACTTTACCATTTAAACCATTTAATGTATGTAGTTGACCAGAATTAAGTATATTCACATTGTTATGCCACTATCACCTTGACCCATTTCCAGCACTTTTTTATTATCTTCCCAAACTGAAACTGTGTACCCACTCAACATCAACTCCCCCTTCCTCCTTCTCCTAACTGCTGGCAACCACCAATCTGCTTTCTATGTGATGAGCTCTTTAAATGTATTATCTCATTTCATCCCCAACACAACTGAAGGCCCATTAGACATATGAAGAAACTTAGACTGAGTGAATTGACTCAGATCACACAGCTATTAAGTGGAGGGAGAAGGCCCCCAACCCCGGTTTTTTGACTCAGGCTCCTACTCCTAATCACCTACCTGGTGGGGGTGTAGAATGCCCTTCTGCTGCCCCTCTGACAGCCTGGAGGTGTGTTGGGAGAATTTAGGGTAGATTATAGACAATGTGCAAAGCTTTTCTTGTAGGAACAGGAAGGGGTTTGTTGCAACCAGCTGGTCTTGTCTGGAAGGAATGGGCTGCTGCCTAGAGACAGGGATTGGGGGTGGAGGGGAAAGTAGGTGACCAACATCTGCTTGATATATTCCTTTTCCATCTTTGTCTTCTGAGCTGTCTTTCAAGGGGTATCGGCTGCTCTGAGAGGATGGTGTAAGCATCTTTGGTTCTTGGTATCCAGCCAGCCCAAGCAGCACTATCACCGTTTATTTATTACTAGTATATAACATAGCACCAGGTACTGCAAAAATAATCATCTAGGAGCTACACATGGCACAGATACAGCTATGCAGCAGGTATCAGAACGAAAAAGCAAAACAAAAGGATATCACGACGTGGCTAGGTGGAAGAGCACAGTATCTGACTCATACCCAGGTCAACAGTAAGTGTATTTTTGAGGGTTGGGTGTGTATGAAGTTGGGATAGAATAGATCTATTTGTTGTAGCTGGAACCATGGCAACCTGTCCTATTCCAGTCCCCAGGTCGTTGGAAGAGCTATCAGTTACTTGGTTTGGATAGTCTGGGCTTTGGTGCCGTGGAGTGTTGAGTTCCACTCCCTGCTGTATCACAAGTGGGACAAGTTGTCTTACTCCTCTGAGGTTTTCTCTCTTTGCAAACATAGTCACACTGGCTTTTTAGAGTTGAAGAGAGGATCAAAAGAGATAGATAAGGTGTCAGATGCCTAATTAGTGTCTGGTACATAGTAGGTGCTCAACAAATGTCCATTCCTTACTGCGTGGAGCATGAGCTTGTACCCGCTGACCAGGAAGCAAGCCTCTTGTTTGCCTCTTCACCATGATCAGCACCATTTCTGAAATGCTGTCTTTTCTCTAATCACTGGGTTCAGTTTGGGAACCCTTGCTACATAGTTTGATGTTTAGACTTCATGAGGAGAGGACGTGTATTTGAATTTGGGGGAACAGTCTGGCAGTCATATCTCTTTCCTATTTGGGCTAACCCCCTCGCATGCAGATATATTAGAAGGCAAGATACTGCCTTGTGCCTCACCTCCTGCAGTGGAAGCAGACAAGGTGAGGGCCTACCCAGGGCTCGTAACCTGGAATGCAGGATAAAGTTGAAGGGGGGTGGGCCAGAATTATTTGAAGGCAGTGGCACTCAGCCTTTGGGGATGGCCCATTTCCTCATCTGGGTCTTCAGTTTCTTGCTGATTCTGTGGGCATCCCCATGTCCTTTCAACAAGTCTGTTTCAAGTGGAACAATCAGTTTCTTTTCCTTACAAGTAAGAACACTGAGTGTCACACAAGGTCTTCTCAGATCAATCTAGAGAGACTTCAAGGGACATTGGGATGGCAGGAGTTGCTAGAACAGTTGGAGGTGGCTGGCTAGAAAAGGCGCCAGGCACAACCTTGATGCAACCTTGTCCTCCTGGCAGCAGGGTAGTGGGTGGTTAATTGGACCATGCCTGCAGTCAGCTCCAGGCAGCAGCTGAGTTAGTATTCATTTGTTTGTATGCTTGCTTGTTTGTCTTTTGGTAAGTGTTACTGTAACATATCTTTCCCATTTGTGTTATAAGCTCCCCAAGGGTAAAGCTTTCTTTAACATCTCTTGTACAGAGTCACAGAAACCCAGACCTGAAAGATGCCACAAATGACCATATGGTTTAGCTTTTTATCTCAAGGCCACCTGATGCCTAACCCCCAAGACAATAGAAATAACTTGTCTCAGAGAATCTCCAAGAAATGGAGACATTAACAGTCCCCAACCAGGCATTCCAGTGTTGGCTGCTTTGCTGTAAGCCTGTTTTCCTTACACAGATCATAATGCTCAGTAGCTTCTTCTTGAAAGCACTTCAGAAGATAATAAAATCATCCCTCAGCCTTTTCTTCCCTGAGAGCCAATGGTGGGAAAACTCAGCTGCTCACAGGGCCAGGCACTTAACAAAAGGGTGAGCTGTGCGTGCATACGCATATGTTGCGTGGGCAGTGGGGTAGTGGTGGGCCAGGAAATCCTGGACAGCAGCTGCCCCTCTTCTACAGACTGTTACTACTGGGGAATGTGCACTGGTGTTTTGAGATCTTATGAATTTTCCAGAGAAGCTGGAAATCTGGAATTACAAGTGAAATTCCTGATTTTTAAAAATGTTGGCAACTAATTTGATTTTTAAAAACCATGAACAACAACAAAAAAAACAACAAACAAACAAAAAAAAAATAGAGGAAAAAACCCTCCAAAAAGCACACCTCTGTGGGCTGGATGTGGCTTTGGGGCTACCAGTTTGCAGACTCTGCATCATCAAGCTGCCTGGGGCCTAATCTCATCTGCCCATCCGTAGGTGCCTGTCACCTGTACTGACTTTAGACCTGGACCACTGGGCCCTTGCCCTGGACCCCATTCTTTAGTTGGTTCTTTCCAGCTGGAGCCCATGCCCCTTTCTAGATAATGCTCCTGGTACCCTGGACTCTAGAAATCCCTGTCAGGCCTGTGTCCAGGGCCTGATCTCATCCTTCCAGGGGCAGCCTGCACTGCCTGGCATGAGCATCTTTGGGCTTAAAGAATGGCAGGTTGAATTTTCCTTTGGTGTGGCGTGGAGCTGTGTGGAAACAGAAGGGGCAAGACTGCCAGCCAGGGTCCTTTATTTGTACTCTTGCCCCTGGATGGACAATTGTTAGTGGTGAGTCTGCTAGTTACTGTCTTGTGGGTTAGGTTATAAATAAGAGCTCCTGATTCACAATTTACCCTGGGCCAGCAGCCACTTTTCTCTTTTCAGAGACATGGTCTTGCTCTGTGGCTCGGGCTGGAGTGCAGTGGCGTGTTTACAGCTCACTGTAGCCTCAAACTCCTGGGCTCAAATGATTCTGTGGGCATCCCCATGTCCTTTCAACATGTCCCTCTTGTAGCAAGGGTTCCTGGATTGAGAACTGAGCACAATGATTAGAGAGGAGAAGACAGCAGTTCAGAAATGGTGCTAATCATGGTGAGGAGGGAAGAGGCTTGTTTCCTGGCCAGTGGGTAGAAGCTCATGCTCCACCCAATAAGGAATGGACATTTGTTGAGCATCTACTATGTACCAGACACTAATTATGCATCTGATCAGGCAGCCTCCCCAATAGCTAGGACTACAGGTGTAGATCACGTCTGGCTATTATTATTATTATTTTGGTAAAGGCAAGGTTTTGCTATGTTGCCCAGGCTGGTCTCAAACTCCTGTCCTCAAGCGATCCTTTCACCTTGAGCTGGGATTACGGGTGTGAGCCACTGTGCCCGGCCTCAGGCGCCCCTCGAGGCACAGCATGCATTCTGTCGTCCGATCTTTACGGCAACTTTGAGGATGCTCTCGACTTACAGATGAAAGAACAAAGGCACAGAGATGTGAACTGAGTTGCTCACAGCCAGCGGACGGCAGAGACAGGATTCCAACGGGACGGCCTGTAGCCGAGCAGGCCGGCCGGACGGCCAGTGGCACTGCGGACACTGTGGGCGCTCCCCAGCCCCCACCGGACGGCCAGGCGGGACCCTCCGCGCCTCGCCGTGTCTGGCCCCCGCGGGGGCGCGAGGCAGGGTGC